GGTTCCCCGCGCAGGAAAAAAGGACGGAGGGATGCGGGAAAGGAAGGCGAGGACTGCGGGTCCCCTCGGAGCCGAGCTGCGGGTCCCCCCAGAAGCAAAGGAGGGCTGCGGGTCCCTGCGCGAACACTGCGCGCAGGGCCGGGGTGCTGAGCTGCGAGCAGGACTCGCTCCCTTCCTCCCTCCTTCCTCCCTTGCCTCCCTTTCATCATTTCCTCCGTGTTTTCTGTGTTTATTCATCGCTTCTGTCCCCCCCGATCTTGGCTGAGCCCAAGGCACCACAAGTTATTCTTTATTTAAACGGGCAGGTTTTGATTTTCGCAGTCATTTTGTATCGAGAGCGTTAAATGCATTTATGGGTGGGGAAATGTCCTATCGGTCTTTTAACGCATTTTTTAAGTTGCGGGCGCAAATTCTATTTGCTTTGATTATTACCACTTTGAACGCATTAATTTGATCGTTATTAAAAATAATGCGGGCTTAATTCTCAGCACCTGCAGAATAGCATTTGGTTTGCAAATGAAACAAATTCCAACTCGGCAAGAAAATAGGCAGCTCCTGGCGGGGCGATCCTGGAATTCTGCTCCAAATTGTGCTCCCGAGGGGCCTGATCCCGCCTGTCCCACCGATGCTTTCGTCCCTGGGATGCAGGAACAGGGCCGCTGCCGTAGCGGGGGTGATATTATGGATCTCGCTGTTAATATTTGCATCTTTTTATCCGTTTTTCCTCCCTCATTCCTTCCTTAAAAGCCATGTGGCCCCTCGACCCCCCTGGAGAAGAAGAGGTTGGCTTTTTCCTGCTAATGCTGTAGACTTCAGGGGTTGGTTGTTATCTTTGGTTATCTAGCTGTATGAGTGGTGTCGAGTCTTCATAAAGCTAGATAACCGAAAGTAAAAATAACCCCATTACACGCCTGAGGAGGAGGATGTGGAGAAGAAAGGAAATTCATCCAAAGGAAGAGGAGGAAAGAAAAAATGAAGTGAAAAAAAAAAAAATAATAAAGCAGGGAAGAGAAAGGAAAAGAGGAAAAAAAAAAAGGGAAAAAAGCCCCCCCCAAAAGACAACTTTTTGAGACTGGAATTAAAAGCCGAGGTAGGATTTGATTTTTTTTTTTTTTCCTAAAAGAACCTCTTTGCCTCCTGTGATTTGAAGTGAGTTTCTTGATTCTGTGCATGCGAAGAGAACGTCCGTCTTGAGAAAGACAAGGATGTGGCCGGGAATTGGTCTTGAATTAGCAAAGTAAAACTTCCCATCAGATTAGGAATTAGTTAAACCCAGGACGCAGAACTACAGCTCAAGGAGGAACTTTTCATTGCGTAACCAGTCGTAGAGCACCAGAGAATCCCTAAATCAATGCAGATTACTGTGCTGGATTATCTGTTTAATAAAGCAGCATCAGAGCACTGGTTATTAATGGTTGTTTTGCAAATACGAGCACTGGATTCCTTTTCTTTTTCTCCTTTTCCTCTCCCCGTATCCCATTCCCTCTTTTTTTCTGTTTCATTTTCTTCCTGACAGATATAACTCGATCTCAGGATCAAAAGAGAAGGATCTGGTGATTTGGGAGCTGCTTTCTTGCCGTTTTCTTTGTTTTACTTCCCTAGTACCTCTATCCAAATGATTTCTTTCTTCTTTTAACCCTTTGTCTGTTCCATTTCTTTGAATGGACTCGAGATGCCAAGATTGGGGATTTGCAAAAAATATATTATGCGCGTATGAAACCGCGGGAGACTAATCAGGGAATTTGATTTTGCCTAATTTATCCTCTCTGCAAATCCATGCTGGTCCTTATCCCTTTCCCTGGATTCTCTGCCAACCTTTTCCTTATGGAAACGGAGATTTTCTTTTTTTACCTGCTTTGCCATAGAAAGGAATTTGGGGTCAAAGAGGGGAACCGGGTGCTTCCCACTCGCCTTTAAGGGTCGGACTGGTTGCTTTTAGATGCCACCTGCAAAATACAGCAACCAATTTGGAAAGGGGTCTTGATGGTGCGTAGAAGAACACAAAGATCTTGTGATGGATTGTGATGATGTAAAGCTCATTTCTAATCTCAGAATGGTGATTCCAAAGGTGGGGGTACAGGGGGAAGAGTTCATGATAATAAAGAGTAAATGGGGGTGCCAGCACCTGAACTGCTTTGGAAAGGAGCAATTCTGGCATTGCGACCTCATGAAAACCCTCTTGTGAGAGACAGAGGCAAGGAGCTGCCTTCTGACCTGTGCTGGACCCGCTCGTTTTGATCATGTGCTCATGGGGGTCTCCACAAAAGGCAAAGGGGCAAAAAGAAAGAGGCAGAAGAAGCTGTCCCTGGCAGCTTGGCCAGGGCAAGGCTGTACCTCTGGGTGTAACGTAAAAGAGATCTGCTCATATGATGACTTTAAATGAACAAACACGGTATTTGTCTCCCTCCTCACCCACAGCCCTGTAATTCAGACTGATTCAGTGCATGTCTTAACTCCCTGTAACGATCTGCTTGGGGAAAGCTGAAGGAAAACCTCCTTTCTGTCTTCCCTTCAGGGTTCATCTAGGTGCTGCTATTGTTCCTGGCGCTGCTCCTGCAGCCCACGCCGGCAGTCGCAGGGGTGTAGGGAAGTTCTTACGAGCTCTTGGTTTATTCTCTGGTGCCTTGCTGCTCCTCCTTGCCTATGGAGGTGTCATCTCCTGGCCTGGTTGCTTGTCCCCAGCCGGAGGGGGATATTACAGAGGACAAGGCAACAGAAGCATCCGAGCCTTGGTGCATGGAAGGGGAAAGAGCATCCTCCATGGGAAGGGAGAACATCCTCTATGGATGCTCGCAGCCCGGAGCATCTCATAGGATGGAGTTGGACAACCTTGGCTTTGGTGGCACCAGGAGGTCACCGCAAGGAGCTCTCCTCCTTCATCCCTCCGAGGCAGATGGAGCTGGTGGAACTGGTGCTCACCAGGCTCATGGACTGGGAGGTGGCTTCGGGTGGACCCTGGCGTTGAACCCCATGCGAAGGGGTTTTGGTGGCTCACCCAGGGACAAGGGACTTTTATTGCTGGGTGAGCACTGGTGAGCTGCCATGTGCCATCCACCATTGGCCGGTGTCTTCGTTCAAGGCGGGGGGAAAAAAACGCCTTTTGTCCAATCGGAGGCTGGAAGCGATGGGATGTGATCATCTTTTGGTGTTCCGAGGTGACCAATCCTGGTCTGTGCGGGGCCAAGGCGGCATCACCATAGGCTGATGGTTCATGGTGTCACTTGCTTGGGTATAACAAAGACAAGAGCAGGAACGGGGGGATGCGAAGTGGGACGAGGGCAAAACTCAACTGGGATTTAACGACCCAGAGAGGAGGGAGCCCATGTGTGGAGGGATGGATCCAGGGGCAGGAGGTGCCCATGGTGGTCTGTGATGGAGAGGATGGGTTTAAAGCCCACCCTGGCTCTCCAGAGCTTGTTCATCTCATTCCCCGCTGCAAAAAGCACCCTTTAAAACAGTCCTGAGCCTCCCTTCTGCTCAGGGACATCACCACACCACAGGGCTAAAGCATCTCCAGGTCTTCTCCTTTGTGCTCCCAGCCTGGCAGGGCAAATGGGAGCCAGTTTCACCCCACTTGCTGCTGCTGGGGTGCTGTTGATCCCGGTACTCTTCATGCGGGTGGAGATTCCTTCTTCATTCGGATCTTTGTGGTTGTGGGTGATGATTCCCAGTGGCGGGACCGGCTGCGTGCTCAGAGCTTGGCTCTCTCGGAGGCCTTTGGGAGCACGGGCAGGAATACTCTTGCAAAGAGCTGATTTATGGTTTTTTCCCCCCTTTCTCCTCGATTTGCCACTGGAATCCAGGAGCAAGGAGAAAGCCCGGCGTGTCGGTGTGACGTTGATCCAAATTGCAGCTTACATGTGGCTGTTTAAGCTTGCTTGGACACTCTGATTTGACTGGTTAACACTCAGCACTGTCTACTCAGTTCTCCCTTCTGGTCGCATAACTGCTGGAGACATTAATAGGAGATATGCTTGCATGTTGTGCATCGAGAGATTAGCTCTCCACATTCTTTTCCATGCTTAGAAGCAGTGTTTGGGGAGAGGTAAAAATGGAGCAATGCTAATTTTCCTCTGGTTCAGTGAGTCATTGAGAAGAGCTGAATATACAAATAGAATTATTGAGAATTAATTTCATTCACTGTAATGCTTTCCCTTAGGATAGAGCTTGTCTTTAGCTCCTGTCCTTAATACTTATGCCAGGCGGTGGGAATGCAGCGGGTTGGTTTGTTGTTGGGTCCAAAGCCCCTTCTCCTCATGAACAATGCGTGTCGTGGCATTGCCAAACGTGCAGGAATACTTGTGCTGGTCAATGCTGCCAGTGGATATTGGAGAGGAGAAAACATTCCCCATTTTTACCCATAAGAGAAGGAAATTCTCCCCTCCAAACGGTGAGAAATTGTTCATTTTTTGTTCCTTTTTAAAATCAGGATTGGGGAAAGCAGCGATTTCCCAACTGGAGGAATTTTCTGCTGGCTTTTTCCACTTTTCAGCTGCAAACAAAAGGAGGCCCTGATGGCTCAAGCCCTTCGAGGTCTCCACAAAGCTCCTTTCCCTCCCTAGCAGCGCGCTCCCACCGCAGGGTTCGGTAGGTGCGAAACGGTGTGGCCGTGCCACCCCGAAGAAACCATATGGGTACGGTATAGATCTGTGTGTATATCTATAGAGTTTAACAGTATATGGATCTATTTCCTTTCTCTAAGCACTCCCAGCCAGGTTTGCATGGGAGATGCAAAGGTTTTAAAGGTGCTTTTGAGGCAGGAGGCAGCGGCTCATGTCCAGATCACCCCTAAAGCTCTTCCGCTTTTGGGGTGCTGAGTCCATGCGATGTGCTCCAGGACCAGAGCTGGTTTTTGGGGTGGGGAATGTCTCTGTGCCAAGAGAAAGCAGACAGCTTCTTGCCATCTGTACCTATAGGGGTCAAAAACGCTTAGTGAAGGCTCCAGCCCTGGATCGGGGCTGAGAGGGGAGCTCGTCTTTGTGCCGAGAGCAGGGTCTTTCCTTTGCAATCAGGGCTCCAAAACCCCCAAATGTTATCAAGGGGACGATTTTCCTGTTGGGATTATGAGAAAGCGGACGAGTGGGTGCTCTAAGCCACCATCGGGATCACATCAGGCCCCGCTCTCATTCCAGCAAGTGCCGGGTGTGCGGGAACAGAGGCTGGACCGATGCTCTGCATGAACCAGGGGCCCCCATTGAGACATGAGGAAAGGTGACCCTGGTCCTTGTCCCCACCTGACGTGGCTCTGGTCACTGATGGGACATGGTTTGCAGCACCCTGTGATGGCATTGGGGTGATGGTTTCTGCGTGCGAGAAGGGATTTCTCCTCTCCCACCCCATCCCGGGGTGCAAACGCGATGCTGGGTGCCCACCAAATGGGCCCGCATGGTTCTCCTGCGCCTTGCCTGCTGGAAGCGGGTGGCAGTGCCTTGGGGAAGGGGACGGATAGGAGGAAAACGATGAGCTCTGTGGTCCTGAGGCTGCTCAGAGGAGACTGAGGTCGCTCAGATGCAGCTGGGGTGATTGGATGTGAAGGCAGAGCCACGGCGCTCGCCGGCAGCTTCGCCTCTCCCATCACCCGCCGCCACCGCTGCTGCTGCGGGAGGTTTTGCTGGTCCAGGCTTGTGTTGACAGCGCTGCCAACGTGGCCCTAAAAATAGTCCCTGGGGGCCGCGTTCCGGCTTGTCCTGGGGGATTCTCAGGGATGGAGATGGAAAGGGACGTGTGCGTGTGAGTGCCGACACCTCCCCGCTCGCTGCCTTTCCCCTGGCTGTTGAACACTGGGAGGAAGGATGACAACCGATGGCACTGGGAGCAGCAGGGTCTGCCTGTGGTTGGTTTGGCAGCAAAAGGGTTGGGAAGTTGGGGTTCCCAGCTGTGGTGAGGAATCCACCGATCCCAGTGCTGGGATTAGGGTTGAGGGGTGTCTTTATGGACAGGAGGTCTTGGATCTGAATCCGTCTCTGGTTATCGGTGGATCACAGGCTCATACTGATGGATAACTCCAGGCTTTATCCCGCTCCAGCCGAGACCAGCCTTAAACCTGGCATCTGTAAGTGTAAAGCTAAGCTGTGTAATCCTCACCCAGCCGTGGCCTGAGCTTCAGCTTTGACAGCTCGGGCTAGGTGTAAAAGCCATTTTAATTCCACTTTTAGGGCTTGGAGCATTGCCGGAGCAGGGACAAAGGGAGCGGTGCCAGGATGCTGGTGCTGGCAAAGGGAGCATCCGCTTCAGGTTCAACCCTTTGGTGCACTGGGTTTCTATGGGTAGGTGGAGCTGGTTCTGGGACAGGCAGAAAATGCAGCTCTAAGAGGGGAAAAATGAAGGCAAAGCTGATTGATAAGTGCTGGCAATGGGAAGCAGTGGGTGTTTGGTGGCTGGTTCAGCCCCAAGCCGTGCGTGCAGCTACAGGAGGCTTTTGGTTTCCCCTGTGGCCTTGTATTGCTGAGATGGGTGCAGCTAAACCAGGTTTCATTTGACCTTTAGCAGATTCCTGCTTGGTAGAAGCTCAAAAGTCACCCCTTTTCGGGGGGAAAAGGGAAGCAGAGCACTGGGAAAGAAGGAAGGGTTATCCCTGAGCAGCCTGCTTTGTTTTGCCCATTCCTCCCCTCTGGCTTTGGTAAATGCCTGCCAGTTTAGGTAAGAATAAGGTGGAATATTCAGCTTTTATGGCATTTCACAAGGTTGGTTTAGGGATTCCCGGGCAGGAATGCATCTGGTCCAAATAACCTTTCTCTGGCATCAGCAGGCACCAGCTGCTTGGGAGGAGAGTGCTTGAAACCCTACAATTATGGGATAATGTATTCCGAGAGAGTTTCTCGGCTCTCCATCCCCAAGCTGGAGAGTTTATATTCCCAATTCTTGTAAAACGCTGCTAAGCTTGGATGCTCTTCCCATCCTCTGGGAATGGGAGCATCCCACAGCAGAGAAGGGTGCCTAAAAAATCCCTGTTTTTTAACATTGACTTGGAATTTGCTTTGTTGACCCTGGAATTGTGGCTTTGGAAAGAGCTGGAAGTGCACCGGCCTCCACAGCCCCACATGGAGCCGATGGGAAGGCTGTGGGGTATTAAGGATGTAGCTTTGGTTGGCTGTTGAAGGGCATGAGGCACGTAATTCCTTTAGGAACCTTGATGCATGCTGCAAGTATTGGTGTCTAAAGGACCTTTCTGCTGCCTGTAGGGAGCTTTGAGGGCTCACGATGCTGGATGGGTACCACAGAGGACGGGTGGCCCCGGACCACGGAGCCACCTCATGATTTTGCAGACAAGCCCCATTCTTTGGGGCATTTTCTCCCTTCTCCTGCTTTGTTTCGGCTTTGAGCCACAAACCCACCAAATTCCTCCCTTTTATAAGCCAAAAAAAGTTATTTTTTTAACCTTAAGCCCACCCATCTCCATGAGCATCACCCGGGCTGGGTGGCTTTCTGCACAGAGGGAGCTTTTCCATCTTCTTGGCCCTCTTGGCTTGGGATAAGTGCTTGGTTTTGGAGCATCAGGGGGCGAACAGCCCCCGGCCCCACTGCCCATCTCATGGAGGCTTTGCCAGCACCAGGGCAAGCCGTTGAGCTGCCTCCCTCCTCCGGTGCGAGGGATGGCCACGGAGCAGGTTGCCATGGAGAAGCGGGATTATTCTGCGCGTGTGTGGACCAGGGAAAGGGGGGGGTTGGAATATCGTCATTCCTCTTTCAACCCTTGGCGATGGAGCGCGGTGCCGCGCTCGCTCCCGACCTTGGGAGCTGCAAGCTCCAAACCCCATCCCCTCCTCCCTTCCTCCTGCACCAGCTCCTCCATCGGACTCTTATCTCCAATAATCCCCCCGTAAGAGGGCTTTCTGCTTGTTATGACACCCAGTGAAAGCGTGGGAGAAAGATCCTTTCTTCGCCCTTGTCCTCCACAGCCAGCCACTGGCTTGAATGGGAGGCTTTTTTGTGTCTCTGTGTGCCTGACTAATTGAGCTGAAGGACTTGCGTCTGGAAGGGCTTGAAAGGGACTTTTGTTGCTGCTGTGGAGTTTGGGGAAGGAGAATGAGTCCTGCTTTCTTAGGGACCGCGGGTCCTGGGCAAATTTGACTCTCGAGTGCTCGCGCCTCCCGGTCCTTTGGGAAGAGCAGAAGAAAGGGCGCTGGGTTTGGTTGGGTTCCTTTCTCTTTTCAGTGGGGCTTTTGGAGGGATGCAAAAGGGAACGTGGCCCTGGCGAGGTTGGTGAGGTCCCTTGGGAAAAGGGCAATGGGAGAGGAGATCCAAGTGGTTACAGGAGCTCCTGCCTCGGAAGCAGTGCAGGGAGCCTTCGCCTCCTGCTGTGTTAAAGCCTGCTCATCAAATCCCCTCTGTGATCCCAGTGGGAATTGTTTGGTGGGCTAAGGGTGTTTCCACATCCCATTGCATCCTGAGAGGTGATGAGCATTGGGTATCGTGAGTCGCCACTGCGGGATTCCTGTTTTCCTCTTGCTTTTGCCAGGAGTGGTGAAAAGTCAGGATTCTCCCTGTAAGAGGAGAATTATACCCCTTGGTGCAGGTATAATAGCCCCAAATCCCTGATTTCATCAAGAAGTCCCCACAGGTCCTGCTAGGGAGGAAAACCAAGAGGTTTGTGCAGCAGTTGGGCACTTTGAAAGCTCTTTTCCTTTGGGAATGTTGGTTTGGAGCATGGAGATGGAGGCTTTAGGGACTTCCAGCCATGGTGGCGGCTCCTGCTGCCCCATAGCCCATCCCTAAGACTTGGTATTTCCACATCTCTGTCCAGGCTGTTTTCCTCCTGCTCTTGCTGGTTTTCCCCCCTCTGACACTGGATTCATTTAAAGACCAGCGGCATCTTCTCCCAGCCCGTTTTCCCCATGGTGGGGCTTAGGAAAAGCCCTGGACAAAGCCCAGTGCTGAGCACCCCATCTGGAAATCACCCCCTTTGGCAAGGAGGGAAAATGGGTCTTTTGGGGCATAAAACAGGGCTTATGGGAAGAAAACAGCCAGGCTCCACTGCATGGCTGAACACTCCCAGTGTGTGCTATTTGGCAGTGGGTTTTAATGCAAAGTGATGAAAACACTTGGAAAGCTGTATTTTGTTGGGGGGGGGGGATGTAGAAGCTGCAAATTTCCCTCTTTTTCCCAAAGGCTGCACCCTTGGGGCTGGGAAAATGCTGGAGTTTTCCAGGGCTCAAGAGGTGCAACAGCGATGGGGCAAAATGGTTGGAAATGGATGCGGGTGTGAATGGGAAATCTGACAGAGGAGGGAGGTGGAGGGACAGAGATGCCTTTTTCATAGCAAACCACACTTGGAATCACTGCTGCAAGTGATGCTTTTCATGTGGGAAGTTGGGAGAAACCCAGAGTTCCAGCTCGTGGAATCCTGGAATGATTTGGGTTGGAAGGCTCCTAAAGATCAGCGCGTTCTGGGATGTGATGGATGCTTCTCCAACGCTCGCCAGCACTAATCCCACCAAACCTGTGTTTCATTCCCGCAGCCTGAAGCCCGCGTCCTGCAGCTCCAGGGATGCCTCTGCCACCAGGTATTTACTAAGTGAATCCTAAGGAGTTACCAGGCTGAGTAAAGGGCAATTTACAGGCTCCTTGTGTGCTCCTAAGGAAGCATTGGAGAAGTTGGCTTTCTCAGCACTGTGCTATGATAATGATGCTGTCTATTAGACACCATCAATGAGAAGCTGTTGGGATTTGCACCCACCGGCCCCATTTTCTGCCTCCAATTCTTTTATCCTTTATAGCATTTCCAGTCCTTCTTCCCCCAAAATCGCCCACTTCCAGTTTGACCACTGGGAAGTGTGGCTGGGAGTCCAAAGGAGCAGGGCAAGGTGCGTACATGGCCCATTGCTGCGTGTTGGAGGCCGGGAAGAGAAGAAAGAAACCCAAATTGGTTTCATTGATAAGGTTTTTAATCCTGATTTGGTTCATTTATTTATTCCCCCTCCTAATTTTTTTGTCCATAGGGAATGGGCTCACTCATTTCTCATTGGTTTGGGATGCTCAAGGTTTACCAAATGAATATTTCCCCCTCTGCAGGGGCCTAAGCAGGCAAAGACCACATTTATAAAGACTATTTATTAACGAAAGAAAAAGCTTTATTTCACTTTAGATTTGTCCAGTAGCTCGGGGTTTGTGCACTTCAGAGCCCTATAAACCAATCCTTTCAATGGTGCTCCTAACCAAACCCCTAAGATATGGGAGCTTCTTGCCCTAGCCCAGATTTCCTCCTGCTCCCAGCAGCTCCCAGCCTCAAGAATAAGAGGTCTGGAGCAGATTTGGACCAAAAAATCAAATGGGGGTATTGGAAGGAGCATAAAAATCATGGAAAATCACAGGAAAATCAATGGTTTTAGGCATAATCCTCAGGCAAGGCTCAGAATTAATATTAAAATGCATTATTATTGCTAATCAATAGCAGCAGCTCCATAAAATATTGAGAACGATGCGATGCATCCATTGCTCCCTTTCCATAATCCCTGGGGATGGTGAGCACGAGCCTGAGCACCGGGATTTCTCCATTTCAGCTCCTGGCACCAGGGCCTTTGTGTTCTGGGGGCTGGGATGGGGAACTGGGCTTTTCCCAGAGGGGTGGTGGTGCCACGATTGGGAGCATCCCGGCTCACAGGGATGCAGATGGGGGTCCTGGTGCCACCACTGCCACCTCTCCCTAGGTCCCTTCTTGGGAAACGGCCTCACGCAGCACCCGGGGAAGCTGTGATTGGAAATGAGGAGTTTTTCAATGCAAAAGCTGGCAAAAAAAAGGGGGATTTGGGGCCGTTTGGGGCCTTCTTTCCCCAGCAGAAAGAGCCGGTGGCTCCGTGCCTGTCCCGGCACCGGTGGGATGTGAACAGCAGAACCCTCGTGGCTGCCACCAGCCTTTGTGGGCGCAGCGCGGGGAGGGTTTCACCTCCTGCTTTTCCCTGCCCTTTCTTTGGTTCATGGGTTTCAATCCAGATTTTCCCCTTTTTTCCTTTATTTTTAGTCTTCCTTTTCCAGTTTCTTTTTTCTTTTTCGCTTTTCTCCCTTTTTCTTTTTTTTTCCCCTTTTCCTTTTTCTCCCTTTTTCTTTTTATTCCCTTTTCCATTTTTGCCTTTATCTGTTTTCCTTTTTTTTTGCTTTTCCATTTTCTTTTTCCATTTCCATTTCTTTGTTTTCCTTTTACACTTTATTTTTTCTTCTTCCATTTTCCTTTTTTCCATTTCCCTTTTTTCCATTTTCCTTTTTTCCTTTTTCCATTTTTCCCCTTTTCCATTTTTCCCCTTTTCCATTTTTCCCTTTTTCCATTTTTCCTCTTTTCCATTTTTCCTCTTTTCCATTTTTCCCCTTTTCTATTTTTCCTCTTCTCCATTTTTCCCCTTCTCCATTTTTCTCCTTTTCCATTTTTTCATTTTCCATTTTTTCCCCTTTCCATTTTTCCCTTTTCCATTTTTATTTTTTTCAATTTTTTCTTTCCTATTTATTTTAATTTTTTGTTCCTTTTAAAATTTCTCATTTCCCTTTCTGTTTGTTTTCCCTTTTCCTCCCTTATTTTCTCTTTCCCCCCCTCCCAGTCCTGCATTCACCCTGCTTTGTCTCCCCTCCTGCCTGCGTGCGGAAGGAAGGGGCAGCCGCTCCCACGCCAGTGGGGTTTTGTTGGTGATGCTGGGTTTGCCCTGGTGCTTTGTTCCACCCAACACCCTCCATGGGGACCACGGGGCACCCAGGGGGTGCGGGTCGGGGTGCCCGGCCCTGGATGAGGGAACACAAAGCCCTACGGAAGACACGGGGGGCTCTTGTGATCCCGGTTGTGCGCGAAAGAGTTAACCCATTAGAAATTCCGAGCCCTTCTTCCGATAGTTAAACCTGATTTGCATGCATTTGCATAATGAATGTCATTTGCATTCTTGGAGGTTGGCTACTTCTGTGGGAAAAGTCAAAGCGGGATTGCGGGGAGGGCGAAGGGGGGTCGGCGAAGAAAGGAGGGAAGATCCCCCCCCTCCGCACCCCATGCGCATCCCTGCCCCTCACCAGCCTCGCCCAAATACTCTTCATTCCCCCCTTTTCCTTCCCCCCCACTTTTTCCCTCCCCTCGAAGCCTTCCTGCTTCTCCCTTCCGCAGGATGCACAAAAGCCAACGGATAGGATAGGATAGGATAGGATAGGATAGGATAGGATAGGATAGGCCGTGTCGAGGCGAAGCGCATCCTTCCCCTCTTTTCCCCCCCTTTCCCCTCGTTTCATTTCTCCCTCTTAATTCCAGGCTGGCTCCCGTTGCCGGCGCCCTTGCGCGCGGGGGGCTGCGGCCCCTCTCCCTCCCCTTCCCGCGGGTGCATGCGTGCTGGAAACGGGAGCAGAAAGGGATAAAAAAAAGGTGGGAATCCACCATTTTAGGCAGCCGACGTCTAAAATGGCCGATTCTCTTCCCCCCGTGGTCCTCACCATGCGGGCGGCTGCATCCTTGCAGCATCCCGGGCAACGCCGATGATCGCGCCCTGGGTACCGCATCCTCGCCACGGGGTGCTCATCCCAGCTTCACCCATGGGGGGTTTCCTCTTCCTGCCCCTGATGGGTTGGTGTAGGGCATCGTGGCCATGAGCAACCCCCCGGCCATGCCCAAAGCACCCAACTCACCCCCTAAAACTCAAGCTCCTTTTGTTTCTGCTCCATGCTGTGCAGTGGGATGGAGCCAAGGCGAGGGACAGGCTTTTATACCCCATCTTCTATTCATTATCATTGGAAGCAACCTCCAGGCCACATATGGATGATGTGTGGTTTGGGGCTCAGCAAGAAATGCCATTTTGTTCCTTGTAGACCTCACTAGGACGAGGGAAACCCCTTTGGTTTGTAATCTTGGTGTCCCCCCCACTTCTTTGACCCAGAAAAACCCAACAGAGCCATTTTTAATACTGCTGAGCCCATTCTGTGGCTGGTCAGGAGGGGAAATCGATGTGAGCCATGAGCGAATCCATCCCCTCCTTGGATAAGCAGAGGTGGGAGAGGCTTCACCTGGTCCAGATGGGTTGTGGGTACAAAGACCTTGCATTAAGACAGGGGAAACCTCCCTTTCTACACCATAGAACCCAACGGGGTGTGGACTGAGCAATTCTACCCCGGCACTGGGAATGCTGTGGGGTGGATTTGTCTGAAGATCCCGTTGGGAGAAGCTGGTGCTTTAGGTGCAGATCTGGGTGTTACATGAGAGTTTTGTTGTTCTTTATTTCTCCCCATCCCTCTGTTGCCATGGGACCTAGGAACTTAAAAGCCTCAGTACACCGAGTGAGTTTAACCCTGGTGCGATGGGAATGTGGAAAGCAGATTAAAACCAACCGGAAATTTATCCTTAGAAGGAACAGAAATCCCGGGATTTTCCCTTTGATGGGTGGATGCTGGAGCCCCAAACGCGCTTGGTTGGGATTGTCCCCATAGGGAAGTGCTGCTTAGCTCAGTCCTGGGCCCACCTGGGGTCTATGAGGTGGGACGGGAGCAGGGAAGTGGTGACCACGACCATCACCATCCCTTGGGATCCCTCCTGCATCCACGCGCTCCCCTCCGCCTGCTGAACGTGCTTAGTCAGGAATGGGAACCACGTTCCTAAAGCTCCCAAAAATGCACTAAGGCTCTCAGCTATTTGGCTAAGCCGCATGGGCTTAGCTGGTTTCTCACTGCTTTCATTGCTAACCTTTGCTCCATGCTGGGTTTGGGGGGGTTCTTCCTTCCTTTTTCTCATTCTCACCCTGGGATGGGGCACGTTGATGGGTGGGAAGCGGGGCTGGAAGGAGAGGATGGATGTGGGCATCCCTGCTCTGCTCTTGCTCACTCTCCATCGCTTCCTTCCCACAGCATGGATTCTCTCTCTGATTTCTGTAGCGTTATCAATGATTTATGGGACTAATGGGCAGGAGAAAAGGTTCTTTCTCTGGCCCAAGCACCTTCCTCTATTAAACAGGCCAAGCAACCTCTGCACTCGCTGTTTGAATCAGGGATGAAGGCAGAGTTTATGCAGATGAGAAAGGAACCGAGCTCTCCTGCTTGCTTCCCACAGAGCATCGGGTTGGGGTCGCAGGGATGTGTTCCACTGGGATCCTCACTCTACATTCAATCCAAGCATCTTCCCTCAATGCAGCTCCCAAGGCTTTAAAGTGCCTTGATGGAGCTGGCAGTGGCCTGGGCAGGGAGGGAAGCCAAATGGGGAAGAAAACAGCCCCACAAAAGGGGGGTTTTGACTTAGATTTCCAGTTTCCAGCCCTGCTTTGTCCCAGCTGATCCCTCTCTTCCTCCATCCCCTTTTTCCACCAGGAACGTGTCTGTAATCTCCCTGCTCTGGTGTAATCCAGGCACGGAAGGATGGGGCTGACATTTAGCACATTCCCATCCTCTTTTCTTTCTCTCCCTGCCAGGGACCAGTGTGGGATCCCCCTTGGTGATGCTCTGCTCGTTTTCCGGCTGGTGAATCCCGTGTCTCTGGCCCCGGTGACAGTTCACATGGAATTTCCTGGTAAGTGGATTCATTTATGAGGCTTTCCATAAGCTCTTCCACTGGGCAGCCTCTGCACGCTGCCGGGATGGGCCGAATCCCATAGGGAATGCTCAGGGACTGCTTCAAGACCACCATGACCACATTATAGGGAAACAGAGAGGCCAAAAGCTCCGTGGTCACCAGCACCTTCCTCCCCATTCCTTCATCCCAAAGCCTGGGACTGTTGTGGATGTAACTTTGTCCATGTGGGTTTGTTGACTCGTGATCCTCAATCCCTGTGAAAGGGCTCCCACCTGTGAGAACAAAGGGGTCTTTTGGGGGTTCTTTGGGGTTCTTTCATCTTTGAAGTGGAAAGAGGGTGAAAAAGGTGTTTCTGCTGCTTTTGGTTTTAACTCAGGTGAGCAGGAACCAAGCAGTGGGAAAGAAACCACCTCCAAAAGGCACCAGAGCCCGGCCAGTGGGAGCTGTGCAGAAGCCCCTCACCGTGGCTGCTCCCGCATGCATCCTCCTCCTCCTCTTCCTCCTCCTGGAGCACAGTGATGTAGACCACGATTTGCAGCAGCATCCCTCCAGGCTGCTCAGGGCTCCATAGGGACATCAACACCAGCTGGGATGGAGGAGACACTGGGACATCACCACCCTGCTGCTGTGCATTGGTCCTGCATTACTGGTGAGAGCGAGTTGGGATGTGGGTACCACATTGGGGCGCAGGGATGCTGCATCCGTCCGGGGATGGGTACCACAGGTAGAGCAGCCCCGAGGCGGAGGTGATGGGCAGGGGGGAGAGGGGCTGGGAAGGGACAGTGTGTTTATTAACCAGGCGCAGCTGAAGCGGGTCCTTTGCCAGTGGTCAAGGCTGAATCACAAACTCCGCATTGTTTCCGAGTGGGTTCAGCGCATTTCCCTTCTCCCCTCCCTCCCTTCCCCTTTCCTCTCCTCTCGCCCTCGCACAAAGATGTCATTGTGCCGGGGACTGGGTGATGGCAGCGTTGTTATTTGGTCCAAAAAAAGAGAAAGAAGTGGGGAGGGGGGAACCCAACAAGGTGAAGAGGTTTAAATCAGCTTAGCCCAAATGCCAATTAAAAACCAAAGAGGATTAAGCTTGTGATCAGCAGAATAGACACTCATTGTACCCCGACGAGGAGGGTTCCCCCCTCCAGTCCCGACGCAGCCGTGCCGCAGGTCTCACTGCTGTGGTGGGATGGAGCAGGGGGCATGGGGCAGCAAAGACCTCGTTCTTGCACCTTTGAGTGTGTGCAGGGCTGGGGTTGAGGTGAGCAAGGGGAAGTCTTGGGTTGAATCCCCCCTGAAGGGGATGGGTTGAATGGAGAAGCTGTGGCTGCCCCATCCCTCGCAGTGTTCAAGGCCAGGTTGGATGGGGCTTGGAGCATCCTGCTCTAGTGGAAGGTGTCCCTGGGTTGGAGCTTTAAGGTCCTTCCAACCCAAAGCAGTCTGGGACTAGAACAGCTTTTAGGTCTGAGTGCATCTCTTGGCCATGAGATGGTGGTGACCCCAGAGGTGGGATCCTGAGTATGAGTCTGGGACAGAGCTGGATGAGAGCTCTCATCACCTGCAGGACCTCTGCTCCCAAAGAGCCAACACCAAGCCTTTGGTCCTGGAGCAGTGATGGAGAAACGCCAGGAGCGCTGCATGGGCTGTGCTGCAGGCAATGGAGAGCCAGGGAACACTTTGTGCTTCTCTGCACCATGGCCTGGAGATGACATCTTGGTGCTCTCTGTCTGCTTTAGTCCTCCTGTGTCTCACCCAGCTCTAAGTACCTCTGACAGTAAACTGGTGATACCCCAGGAGCAAAGATGCTCTGTACTCATGTGGCTGCTGTGGGTGTAAGTGTGTAGACATCAGGGGTGCCTTAATACCACACCAGTGACTTAGAAAGGGCCTTCACTTAGGCAGAGGCTGTCATTATGTGCTAACTTTAAGGTAGAAGGGAAAGGCTCCCAGCATAGGTGGAAGCCAGACCAAGCAGGGGACCACTGCCTGCACCCCACTGTGCTGCTTTGCATGGGAATCCAGGGCAGGCTGTGATGGAGCCTCATCCAGACCCAGGCAAAAGCCCATGGGGGAAGCTGAGCTGAGACTTTGCTGCTGTCAGCTCTGGATGCAAAATGCTCCTGGATCTGAACCACCAAGAGGAAAAGGAGCAAAAGGGCCTCATCTCTGATGATCAGAAGGAGAAAGCATTGCGCTTCTGCACCAGGATCTGTTTCTCCCCATTCCTGGTTAGCACTGGCTGAGGGACCACAGGCCTGGCGTGATGGATGAGTCCATGCGCAGGCATCAGATGCTTGGCAGCATTTTGGGGCAGAATGCAGGGATGCTGTGGAGTGGGGACAAGAGGAAGGTGCAGGAGATGTCATGGGCTGGGAGGGGCAACGCCACCACCTCCCTCCTTTGGAAACCCCTCAGGCTGCCACTGCCATAGAATAGATCATAGAATGGGTTGGGACGCAAAGGAGCTTAAATCCAGGTCCAACCCCTGCCACGGGCAGGGACCCCTTCCACTGGAGCAGGATGCTCCAAGCCCTGCATCCAACCCGGCCTTGAGCACTGCCAGGGATGGGGCAGCCACAGCTTCTCTGGGCACCCTGTGCCAGCGCCTCAGCACCCTCACAGGGAAGAGCTTGCTCCTCATCTCCAACCTGAACTTGCCCCGTTTCACTCTGAACCCATCACCCCTTGTCCTACCGCTCCAGTCCCTGCTGAAGAGCGGACCCTGTCCGAGGATGCCCACCAGCACCCAGGCTGTGGGAGTGGGGACGAGGCCCGGATCCATCCCCTTTTGTTGCTGCCGTGTAATTTATGATATGAGAGGGGCCATTGTCTGGCCCCATCCTGTATTTCTCCGAGGGCTTTGCCTCTCTTCCCAGACCCCCGCTGTGCTCCCGCTACTGTACGGTTGCTATGGGACGTGCTCCCCGCGCCGCGGCTATGCGGGGCAGTGCCGGGGAGGGCTGCCCACCGCGGCCGGACCCATCTGGAGCCCCGAGCCCGCTGCCGGCACCCGGCGGCCCCGTTGACGTGCCGAGGGCCTGGGAATGGGGCTTTCAACCCCTCCAAGTTCACGGCCACTGGAGGTATTCAGCTGCCAAAAGCAAGGGGGGGGCAGCGGGATCTGGGGTGTTTGGCTCCATTCTCCCTTCCCTTTCAGTGTCCTCGGCGCATACAGATCCCCCCCGTCCCTTTCTCCTCCTGACAAGTGCGCACATAAATAAATTACCCCACCGGGCGAGTGTGGAACAATCTGTCCCCTAAATTCTATTCATGGCCAGACAGGGGCCATTATTCCCCCGATTAAAGCCGCTGGAGTAGCTTGCAAGGGTTACAGTTACTCTGTCAAACTGTAAATAAGACACTAAAAATAAAGGGGGAAAGGGAACCAGACTAATGCCTGCTGCTAGGGAAACCGGATGAATCCCTAATGATGCCTGTGTACAAACTGCACATAATGAAGGCAAAGTGACCCGCTCAGAATCACCCGCTCCGTGGGGACCTGCTCACCCCTTCCTCCAGGGAGTAAGCCCCCTTCCTGCGCCCCGGTGCTCAGTGTACAGAAAGGGCTGGTGGATGGGGATGTGCTTGAGCAGCGCATCCCTGTTTGAGGAGCGGTGATGCAGGACAGGGATAGGACCAGGGAGGGTTCGGTTCTGTCTGCCCAGAGCGCATCCCTCAGGCGGTGGGGATGCAGCCAAGGCTCCTTCCTCCTGCAGCAGGTCATGGCTGAGGCATGGACCTGGAGCTCAGCCCTGGGGCTGCCCCTTGCTGCTGCATAGAATAGAATCAGCATCAACCAGGTTGGAAAAGCCCTTTGAGATGGAGTGCCAAGGCCACCACTAACACATGTCACTGAGATGGATTAGAGGGAAGATCATCTCCAGCCCTAGAAAGCCTCTTTGGATAAAACCCAATTCCCTTCTTGCTGTTCTTTTACCAGCCAGGAAGGGCCGAACGCTGGTGCTGTGTTATTGTCATAGAGCCACAGAACCACAGAATGCTTTGGGTTGAGGGACCTTAAAGCTCATCCAGTTCCAAACCAGATGCACCTCACACTGGAGCAGCTTGCTCCAAGCCCCATCCAACCTGGCCCTGAGCACTGCCAGAGATGGGGCAAGGATAAATCCGGCTGCTCCATCCATCCCAAACATCTGAGGCCAGGCAGGGAAGCGCAGGAGGCAAATCTCATAACCAGGGTTGAGCAAAACCCAAACCTGGGCTGTCCTGGTGCTGCCCCAGCAGGGAAATGGGCAGCTCTGCATGAAACCTGCTCCCCAGAGGCTTTCTTTAGAGGAATAATGGGCTCAGAGAGCTTAATCTCATCCTGGGAGAGGGGTTGGATCCTGTGGGCTTTGCATCATAGCCAGGAATGGCTTTGCTTGAGGACGCTGGGTTTGGGAGCAGCATCAGCGCCAGGGATGCACTCAGGGGTATCCAGCTCCCCCTGAGCCCGCAGTGAGGATGGCAAGATTTGATCAAGTGAACTTCCCTGCCTTTCCCTGCCTGCACCCTTTGGGTCACGGTTTTCAGCCTCCAAAAGGATGATTATTGCTGGGGTTTTAATGCAGGTTGTGCTGCTCATCACCTGGCTCCAGAGCCAAGAGCTGCAGAGGGGGGTTTGCCCTTGAGCAAAGCATGTCCCGACCTGGAGAGATGAAGAAAACCAGAGAGCCTTCAATATTCAACATCTTTGTGCCAGTTGGGATAGGAAAAGTCCTTCTTTGCCTCCAAATACCTGGGGGTTTTGGGGGGTTTCTGTCCTGTCTATGGGTGTAATCTACCGGTGTCCATAAACCAAAAGCCAGCAGCTCGCTCTTCTCTTCCTGCTGTGGCAAGGCTTGTGGAGGGTGAGATTTGATGATGCCATCGCCAGTCCCCTTCCCTTTTCAAGGATCAGGATGAGGGGAACCCCTTCAATCTGCTTTCATTCCAAAGTACATGACTGTGGAGGCTGCAGGCAGGGAATGAGCACCCCTTTGCAATAATAGCCAGGTAGCTCACATGGCTAAAACACAGCTTTTCCCTTTTCCATTCTAACCTCCTTTTAAAGCACATTTAAACACGTCCCTGCAGGCTCAGGTGAGGGCTTCATTTGACTCAATAAGTGCATAGGCAGGGGAAGCCCTGGTGCCAGCGATGGCATCAGAGGACCGGCGAGTGGGAGAAGGGGCTCGGTGTTCCATATTCCATACAGTAATTAAGTATTCCTGGTTTGGATGACTTCAAACAGAGTGACTCCAGGAAATAAGCCCCTTCTTTATAATTAGTGGGATTTCCTCCGCATCAAACGGAGCGATTGATTCTTTAATCTGCTCACATGCTTTTGATTTGGTCACTCAGCTCCTTGTACCAACTGCTTCTCCTCCCTGCCCGGGCCGATAAAGCCTTTGCAAAGGAGATTTTGGGGAGGCATGACCCGAGTGGAGGTCTAGGATTTGCTTTGTGTGGGGCTGTTTTGTGTAGGTTGAATTTGCCAGAGATGGTGATCGTGATGATAGCGATAAGAGGAACTAACACGGACAATTTTAACAGCAAGGTCAAATAATGCAGGTTTGGGGGGGTTCTTGTTGAGGTTTCCTCTTTCCAAGAGGCTTTGTGAGGGCTTGGTTATAATAAGGACTTGATTTCTGAAGGACTTGGGATGTGCAGAGGAAAGAGGCCCCTTTTCCAGAGTATTTCAAGGGTTTGGTCCCGATTTAGGGCTAAAGCCAGGCTCTTTGAAAGCAAAAATCCCCCCCAGATGTTGCTGCTTTGCACAGGAAGAGTTCAGGAGAGAACAGGATCTTAGACCCATAGAATGGGTTGGAAGGGACCTTCAGAAGTCATCTGGTCCAACTCCCTGCAATGAGCAGGAGCATCTTGAACTTGATATCCTCTTGACAAGTGCATGAGCAAGCAGCTCCTTCCTGGGCACATCCATGGGCTTGATGGCACTGTACTGGTCATACAGGGAATGCTCTCTGGTTCTGGGCATGGATGGATACCCCCACCTCCAAAAGAGGTCAGATCTTCAATGATCCCAACAAACAGCCCCTGGGTTGGATTTATTTCGGGCATGCATTGATCTCCTGAGAAAACAGAGGGAAATGTTGGACTGTGCTGCTTTCCATCCAGCTTGTGGTCCTGTTAACATAGCATGGACAGGAACGATGCCCGCAGTGCTGCGTCTCAACCGCGTCCCTTGGGATGGAGCCATCAGAGGATGGTGGCTCTGCCGAGGGTTGTTTTGGTAGCAGGGACCAGCACCCCAACCACAACCCCTGTCCGCAGGGGCTGGCATCACCCTCGGTGCGTGTCCTCACACACAGACTCTATGGGGAGGGCAAGCGTGGGGCTGGCCCCACCATGGTTTGGGGGTCACGAGGCTGCAGGGAGGGACTGTGGGAAGGGGATCCCAGTGCAGAGCCAAGGCCAGGCCTGCGGTAAGCACAGAGCAGTGGTTTATTATGCCCCTCACAAACGTCCCTCATTGGAGCGGTGTTGAACACAGATCATATCATTAGGGACCCGGCGAGCACCTAACCGTACAATTATGCAAATAGTGATCAAAATCAGTGTTTTCAGCAGAAAAGCCTCAAGATCAAGACAGAAGCTTCCTGCAGCCTTAATTTAATCTGGTCCTGCAGGAGGGGGGAGGTCTGATGGATGACCCAACCTCAGGCCTGCCTGTGCTTAGCAAGGCTGCGGTGGGAGGCAGGGGAGGGAAGGATGCGCCGGGATCACGTTGGGATGTTGGCAAAGCAGGAAGCAACCAGCGCCAATGGAAGCTGCAGTGATTTTGTGTTTGCTTTTGCTTGCAGGTGAAGACCACGAGGCTGGGAGGGGGAAAGGAGCAAAGCAAGGCAAGGCAGCCTCGGAGCGCAGGAAATGTGCGTTAATGGCTTGTGGATGTCTCTGTCTCCCAAATGATGGAATTGCCGGTGCCGGGCTGTTTTTGACAGCCTGTCTTTTCCATGTTTTTAAAATATTCATGCCCCGAAATCTAATTACCAGCAAATTTCATGCTAATGAAGGGAAGGCTCCGGCTTCCCTCTGCCTCCCTCTTGTTCACGCTGCTATAGGAGAGCTCTTTCTTTCTTTCTTTCTTCCCAATTGCTTTTCTTGCATGGCAAACCCAACCCCAACCAAAGGATCGCCGACAATAAAGCTTGGCTTGCTCAAGGTGTCTGTTCACTGGTGGCTCTGTTCCTATGGCGGGGAATGGTGATGGAAGGTGCTTGGCACAGACCAAATGAGCCTGAGCTCATCGGATAAAGGAGATGAATTATTAGGAGCAGAGGGGTTACATTGCGAGGGTGGAACAAAGATGAAACAGAGGGAACGCCACCCTTGGCATCCCTTGGACATCTCCAGCCCCTTTGCAGGGTATTGGGCTGGTCCCTGTCCTTCCAAAGGAGGCTGGAGCATGCACATGATGGCTGGAGTGTGGTTGTGATTGATGGAGCATGTGGTGAACAGAGCATGGATGTGATGGATGGAGCATGGATGTGATGGATGGAGCACACGAGTGACGAAGGAGCATGTAAGTTTCTGTGATCCTTATTTCTCTATGGGAATTTGGGAATGTGGGTTGGGCCAAAGTGGCTTTTCCTCCCTGTAGATGCTGCTCTTCGCATCCTGGGTGGGTTTGCATTGGTGGGAATGGTCCTGAGGGAGGACCAGTAAAGACCAGGACGGGTTCTGGACCTCTTGTGTCTTGCCAGCTCCCTAGGTGAAGGCAGGGGCTTTTCCTTGTCTCTCCTTGCCCTGCACTTGACTGTGGCAAACCCCTTGGAAGTAGCTCCTGGACCATGTTAATCCCCTTAATCCTTCCTGCAGCCATTCCCTGCTGGAGATCAGCTGCTGAAAGGCTTCCTGCCACCATCCCTGATGTGGTGGGGGGATCAATGCTCCCTATGGGTTAAGGGGAGACCCTTCATGCCTCCAGTTTCCACCCTCCTTACTCAAAGGCTTGCACACTTGTAGGGCTGAGAGGAGGATGGGGAGAGCTGCTGCTGGCTCCTATAGCAATGGATTTGGGATGCAGCTTTCCAGGCTTGTGCTCCCTCTGCACTCAGGGGCTTTGTAAAGGACCCCATCCCCATCCTTAGTGCTGCTTCTACCCCTGCCCTTTGGAGATGCTGAGGCAGGAGGGCTCCCATGAGGAAAGCAGGGCAGTGTGGGGGTTCTCAACATGCAGAGAGCATTTGATGCTCAGCTTTGGGCTGAAGAAGCCCCTTTTCCACGCGGGCTCGGGAGCATTCAGAGCCTGCCCATTGCCACGCATCCCTGTTTGCTTTGCAGAGCGCTCGGAGCTGCGTTGATCCTGCCAAAATGACAGTTTCCCCTTGGAGAGCCGCAGCCTGGCACCATGATTATAATTGGCACTAATTCCTTTCTTCTGCAATCAGGTTTGTACCTTGACACACACACGAGCAGCAAAGGAGGCAGATCGGGGCCAAGGCTGCCTCTAGGAATGGGTGTAGAGCCCTCATACCTATAGGAGAAGCTGGTGTTGCCCTAGGGTGCTTTCAGAGAGGTGCCAGGTTTCAGGTTATGGTGAGGAAGGGGCAATATGAGCCCTTTTTAACCCCTTCCCCACCTCAACATGCAGGCCTCAAGGTGGGCACTGGGAATGGTTCATGCAAACGCCTTTGGAAGGAGCAGGCACCCCTCAGAGCAGAGAAACCCCAAACCCACCCTAAAGAGGCTGGATGGGGGATGAGGGCTCATAGGGAAGAGCTTCTGCCTTATATCTAACCTAAATCTCCCTGGTTTAAGCTGTAGGCCCATTCACATCCTGGGATACCTTTACATCTTCCAGTACCTGAAGACACTCCAGTATCCCCATTCGGATACATGGGATGTAGCAGGGAGGAAGGCACCAGAGGGATGGGTGAAAAGAGGCTGTGGAGCTTCTGAGGGCTCAAAGGGGGGTTGAGAAGCGCTTCTGAGCGGCTCCTGCTTCTCTGCTGGGGTCACAAGAGGAGAATGTGGCCACCTTAGCCATTGATTTAACTGCAGCCTCTGCAGAGTGAGCTGCAGAGATTCCCAGGGGTACCATGGGCAGAAACCCTGTGATACCCCCCAAAACACCCCCCCTTTTTTTTTTTTACCCCAACCCAGAAATAACTCCCTAAAACAAAGCGCTGCCTTGTCCAAGCCAACTAAAATTACCAGCATGTCAACGAAAATATGTACAGCATTACAGTCAAATTTGCATCGCCATAATGCTTTATTAAGCACATTAGGAGATTAAAAGAATCAACCCATTTGTTCCCATTCACGGCGCGTTGAGGATTTGCATTTCTTTCCCCCCCTCCCACCTCCAGCTCCCCCCCCCCCCGTTGCAAAGAGCCCCCCCATAAGAAGGTGTCTGTGTGTGTGTGTGTGTGTATGTGCGTGCCGATGGGGGGTTTAAATCACAGCACTTGACTCGGGGCTGTTTGTCTGCATGAGGAGGGGTTGGGCCGCGGAAGAAAAGGTTTGGCTGCTTCCATTGCGGCTCAAATGGTTAATTAAGACAATAGAGGCTCCCTAACAATCGGGGCCAGGGCTCTGAATGCTTGTCTAGACTCTATAGTTCAGCTCCAAGTTCTCCGTCGGAATTTTAACGTGGCCGGGCTGTCCCCTCCCTCTGTCCCCGCCTCCCAGCTCATGGCCAGAAATTCCCGTTTCCCTTTTGTTTGGGTCCCCCCCTCCCTTCCCATCCTTCTCTTTTCATTTTGGGGGGGGTCCTTAATCAATCTTTTGAGTGCTCGGGGCTGGATTGACAGCTGTGCCTTGTCTGAGGGCTTGGGTTTGCCTTCCCAGCACCGCAACCGCAGGAGTTATTGTTAACGGAGCTGCTCTGCTCCCCGATGGACCTGATCCTGGTGCAGGGGAAAGGGGCTGGGACCAGGTCCTGAGGCTCGGTGGAAGGCGGGATGGCAGCAGAAAATGAGGGAGCATCAATTTTCATGCTGGAAGGGAGGATTTTCATGTTGGAAGCCTTGGAAAGGGCTGAGGAGGAAGATGGGGAGGCTGATGCTCAGGGTTCTGGGGTCCTGGGCTGCCTAAGCTGCATTGCTCTGGCTCTTGCAATCCAGTTTGCCCAGAGCCAGGGCTCATCCTGCTCTTGGGATCTCTGTGGAGCAAGTGGATGCGGTTGAGCAGTGTGAAGCCAGTGGTACCCCACATAAGGGGGTCCCTGCAAGCCCTGCTGCACACCTTGAGCAGGAACTGGGTTTGCAAAGAGCTGGTCTGGTCGCAGGAGCAACAACGGCCCAAAGCTCCTCTTGAGCTCTGAGATAGCTCCAGGCCATGAGGAAAAGCAACATGAGCAGGAGAGGTGCAGGGAGACCTCAAGTGCACCCAGTTTTCCCACTTCCACCGTTTTTAACCTGCCCTTTGGGAGCTGCTTCATAAAGATCCTTAAAGCACCTAAGAAAGAGCATCCCAGGGCTCCAGCTTGCAGCAAAACGCTTGGGCTCCATCAACCTAAAAGCTTGGTCCCTGGAGGAGGATGGGGGCTGTTACTGGAGCATCTCCCCATAGGGATGCTCTCCATAGCTGAGGTGCGGGCGCTGCTGTTGCGGTATCCCTTAGCATCAGGACTGCTCCATTTGGCCACATCTAGGGCCTCAGCCCCTCTCTTTCAGACCCATGGGGAGAGCCTGGCTGGTGCCTCGGTGGCTTTGGAGGCAGTCTGAAGTGGCTGCAGGGTTATAATGGCTCGCACAGCAGGAGGGAACCTCTCTGGAGGAGGATGCGGGGATGCAGCCACACGCTTGAAATATGGGAGAGATTATTCCAACTGCATCCATGCAAATGAGGCCCGTCTGTAGACAGGAGAGACAAAAGGTCATTAGCTTCCCATGTAGAGCCCTTGCGCAGGGCCTAATTTACTGTCTTCCCAAGCCTTTTCTACAGATCTTGCATTTTTAGGCTTAAACTGGTGATATTTTGGCAGGTTTGGATGGGTGCTGAGCAACCCGGGGGTTATGGGATAGTCTGGGGTGTGCAGCAAGCGGGAGGGATGCGCAAGAGTTCAGCTTCTCAAAAGTAGATGCTGGAGGCTGGTTGCATCCGGCAGGTTGGCTTGTAAATGGATTTCACTTCAGGGCCTCCAGAAACACAAGATCCCCCAGGTTTTCCCCTCAAAACATGCCTTTCTGCCTGCCCCAAAGCTTGCAAACTCTTTGGATCCCCTTCAATGACGCTGGACTTGGGGCCGCTGGGACCAAAGTGAGCTTGGAGCATCCTTGGAGCAAGGACCAGCCTGGCTGCCCCTGTGGAACCCATCATCCCTCCTTTGGGTGAGTGCCTCTGGCTGGGTCATTCTGGAAGACTCAGGTGTTTTGGAGGCTCCTGCTCTTGGTGAACCCTTCCAGGACCTGGGTTGGATCCGGCCCTGTCTACTCAAGCGGTGCAGGGAGCTTCCCCACCGATGCTCTTGCTGCTGCTGCCTGAGCTTTGGGCTCTAAAGGAGCGAATGGTCCTTCCCCACCTCCTTTAGGCTGCTCTGCTCCCCCTGCGAGGCCTCCTGGGGAGGCAGCAGCGATGGGAAGGGGTTGGCATCACCCCAAAGCATCCCCTCAGCACGGAGCTGGGAGGCGGGATCCGCGCTGAGGATGCTTTGGGTGGGATGGGGTCCCCTCTGGGTGCACACCCCTGGGTGCTGGGTGCTGGCGGCAGGGCTGGGAGGGCTCCAGCGCTGCTCCCGCCGGCTCTGCCTCCCCCAAGGCCGGGATTGAGAGTTTATTCACGCACTAATCACAGTGACATGATGGTCGTGGCAGACTAAAGCCATTCACTCCCCGAGCTGCCGGGGTCGGGAGGTCGCCCAAGTTCGCAAGAATGGGCCTTTTGTGATGCAGATCGGGCCAGACAAGCGGCAGGATCCTTCCCCCCCACCCAGCCGGCCCACGGTCCCCCCTTCACCATCATCATCACGTTGAGAGGGACCAAAGCACCACCATGGGGCTGGTCCATAGTGGGGGGGCTGGGTGCTCCTGCACCCCTTTGGGTGCTGCGGATCGTTTGGAGTGGGTGCATCGCTGCTGTGAGGATGCTGTGGGGCCGTGGGATGCTTGGTACTGGGGTGAGGCCACTGAGGAGCAGGCACCCAGCTCCCCCTTGCCTGTGTGTGGGGCTTTTGGGTGGCTCTTCCCAGCACTTCTGCACCCACATCAGCTTAGTGC